TTTATTTTTTAAAGATTATTTATTTATTTGACAGAGAGACAGCAAGAGAGGTAACACAAGCAGGGGGAGTGGGAGAAGGAGAAGCAGGCTTCCTGCTAAGGAGAAAGCCTCATGTGGGGCTCGATCCCAGGACCCTGGGATCATGACCTGAGCCGAAGGCAGTCGCTTAACTGACTGAGCCACCCAGGCGCCCACAAAGAAATAATTTAAATGAGTATCAACCAAGTATACTCAAAGAGGGTGGAGAAATAATCATTATACAGAATTCTGATTTATGAACTTCAAATAATATGGCAGTGATTTTCATTTCTGATAGCCTAATCTTTTGTCTCAATTCCTGCTTGAAGTGCAAGGAAAGGATGAATAAAATGTACTTTTTTCAACTGCTCATCTTTGTAATGATTAACAATGCTTCTCTAACATTTCTAAAATAAAGGCAAAACATTCCTTTTCTGCAAACTCAGAAAATGCCACTGAACTATAAGATTAGTTTTTAAAGTTCCAAATATTTTGGTAATGAATGTAAATCCTCAAAACAGTATTAGATATACACATTGCTTTGCTATGTCAGCACCACTAATTATTGACAAATTGTAAGTCTCCCCTTATTCCCCATCTGTAAAATAGAGATGATACCATTACCTTCCTTAATGAATTGTTGTGCGAATGGCTAGCACCTCACACACAGGAGACAGTAAATGTTTCCTTTTCTTTCATACTCTTTTTTTCTTTAAGATTTTATTTATTTATTTATTTGAGAGAGAGCGCGCACAAGCCAGGGGAAGAGGCAGAGGGAAAAGCAGACTCCCCGCTGAGCAGGGAGCCCATGCGGGACTCAATCCCAGGACTCTGGGATCATGACCTGAGCCAAAGGCCGACGCTTAACCGACTGAGACACCCAGGCGCCCCTTCTTTCATACCCTTAGCTGGTATTTTAACACTGAACTTAGGATATTCTTCAGAGTAAGACACGTGGTAACAGTGAGCTTGACAGGTAAATATGCAAATAATACTAGGTTTAATTTTTCAAGTTAAAAGGATTCCCTCACCTCGTTTTGCCCAATGTACCAAATACATTCCTAATGAGTTTGGTTCTTCGGGCCAATGAGGTCAGAGCTTCAGCTGTTGTCAAAACAAATTTCTATGTTGTTCAAAAATCTTGGAACAATTTATAAATCATTAGTTTTCCCCCAACCAGTTTATCTTTTCTCCCACTCAGCTGGGACTTGGGCTATGGCCAAAGGTTAACTTCTACTAGTAAGGAAGCTCACTATGCCGCCACACTAATTGGGAGAACTGAAAACACCGCGTCACAGGGTCTTGAGCTGTCAATGATCTCCGCCGCCTTCACCTGATCAGGTGAGGAAACTGAGGCTGAGGGGAAGGAAGGGCTTATCTGCGGCTTATAGTCAGCTCATTCTTTTCTGAAATGACACCGTTTGACAGCAGCAGGTGTACTATCCAGAGGACTCTTACGGCGACCACCGCAGAGAGGGAAGAAACCCGTTCCTCTTAGTGCCGCCTGACTCCGGAGAGGAAAAGAGGGACCCCTTCGTCGCCTGGCCACAAGCAGGGGCCCCGGTGGGCTCAGGCCCGAAAAGTGCACCTTCCCTGGGATCCACAGCTGCCGCCTACCGGTTCTACTGGGAGAAGAGACCTCCACTCACCTGCGAATGGAGAGATCGCAATTCCTCACCTGGCGACCGCCCTACACCCGTCTAGTTCGAACTGCAAAGCGCTATGGCTGCCGATGTCCCAGCTCCCATCAGCTCCTTCCGGGCCGGGGGCGGGGAAGGGGGGGTGCTTCCCTCCTGGCTGTCCGCAGGGCCACAGTTCCACGAGCCCAAAGTTCCGCCTCCCCGCGGTTCCGCCGCCAAACCCCAGGCTCAGCGAGCTTGCTGGCTGGAGCCAGCCTTTCAGCAACCTGGTCTCCCCACGTCCGCGGGAAGGGGCTTCAGGGACCCGAGGGCCTAGGCAGAGAAGGAAACGCGAGTCTGTAGCTTGGGAGAATTATCTATGACATCCGTTTTTTAAAAAATGCACATTATTTTTTTTTAAAGATTTTATTTATTTGAGAGAGAGAGAGAGAGAGCGAGAGCACATGAGGGGGGCAGGGCCAGAGGGAGAAGCCAACTCCCCGCAGAGTAGGGAGCCCAGTGCGGGACTCCATACTGGAACTCCAAGATCGTGACCTGAGCGGAAGGCAGTCGCTTAACCAACTGAGCCACCTAGGCGCCCTAAAAATGCATTTATTTTATTTATTTATTTTTTAAGATTTTATTTGTTTATTTGACAGAGAGAGAGAGAGCACAAATAGGCAGAGAGGCAGGCAGAGGGAGAGGGAGAAGCAGGCTCTCCGCTGAGCAGGGAACTCGATGTGGGGCTCGATCCCAGGACCCTGGGATCATGACCTGAGCCGAAGGCAGCCACTTAACCAACTGAGCCACCCAGGCGCCCCTAAAAATGCATTTAAAAAAATATATTTTCAAAGTACACCTGTTTCTTGAATTCTTAAGTAATTTACAAAACATAATTATGTGCCAGATAATGGGTTGGACGCTAGGTTTTGAGCTTTATTTTTTATTTTTTAAAGATTATTTATTTATTTGACAGAGAGACAGCAAGAGAGGTAACACAAGCAGGGGGAGTGGGAGAAGGAGAAGCAGGCTTCCTGTTAAGGAGAAAGCCTCATGTGGGGCTCGATCCCAGGACCCTGGGATCATGACCTGAGCCACAGGCAGATGTTTAACAGACTGGGCCACCCAGGCGCTCCCTTTCAATGTGTTTAAATAAGAATATTTGGGTGCCTTGAATGGAAGTGTGATGCTGTCAAGATTGCTCTCAAGCCAGGTTTCTAGGTCAGAGGGACAGAAGGAGGAGCTGTTTGGGGGTTAAAGAATGGATTATTCAACAGAAGAAAAACCTATAACTTGCTCTGCTGGATCTCCCTCCTTCTGCTGCAGTCTCAGGAAATGCCTTAGCCCATTTCTTCTGCCAGAACAAATTTTCTAAACCTCTCCTCTCCACCTCCCTATGTCATAAATATACACTCTTCAGGTCTCAGCACAGATAGCCCTCTTTCATCAAAACCTCAGTCCTTTAAGCTTCCCACTCTTGATTTCAGCTCAGCTCAAAATCTCAGGGTTTTGAGGGCACCTGGGTGGCTCAGTCGTTGGGTGTCTGCCTTCGGGTCGGGCCGTGGTCCCAGGGTCCTGGGATCGAGCCCCGCATCGGGCTCCCTGCTCCGCGGGAAGCCTGCTTCTCCCTCTCCCACTACCCCTGCTTGTGTTCCCTCTCTCACTGTGTCTCTCTGTTAAGTAAATAAAATCTTAAAAAAAAAAAAAACTCAGGGTTTTGAGATCCAGCCCCACGTAGAGTTCCAGGCTTAGTGGGGAGTCTGCTTGAGAGTCTCTCCCTCCCCCTCCCCCTCTCCCCCTCCTTCCCCCCTCCCTCTCAAATAAAAAAATAAAATCTTTAAAAAAACAAAACATAAACAAAACTCCCTCCCAAAGTTGGGTTTCCCCAGCAACTGTACAATTAGCCTATTATCATTGAAGTTACCTTATAATTGTCCAAGTAACTATGTGATTATTTGTGTAGAGTCTCCCCCAATAGACATTCTGTAAGCCTCCTGAGGTCAGGAACCATATCTGTCTTCTCTTGAACCTATTTTCAGTGCTTGGCATATAATAGGTGCTCAATACATATGAGCAAGTGATCCATTCATAAATGAAGGACTCCTATGTATTTTTAAAAATATTTTATGTATTTGTCAGACAGAGAGAGAGAGCACAAGCAGGGGGAGTGGCAGGCAAAGGGAGAAGCAGGCTCTGTGCTGAGCAAGGAGCCCAATGTGAGACTCGAACCCAGGACCCTGGGATCATGACCTGAGCCAAAGGCTGATGCTTAACCGACTGAGCCACCCAGGTGCCCCTCCTATGTACTTTTTTAAAAAGATTTCATTATTTGACAGAGAGAGCGAGACAGCACAAGCAGGGAGCCTGATGTGGGGCTCAATCCCAGGACCCTGGGATCATGACCTGAACCGAAAGCAGACACTTAACCGACTGAGCCACCCAGGCACCCCTCCTAGATACATTTTTGTCCTGAAGGGATTGAAGAATTTCACTAGAGTCCATTGATCTGAGTTAGAGGAACTTGTTTTTCCAGTCTGGGTTCCCCTCTACTCTCTTTCCCACTTACCTACTCTTGAATCCAGTTTGATTTCTTAAAATTAATAAAAGGAAATCTCATTTAAAATGGAGTCAGGAGGGGTGCCTGGCTGGCTCAGTCCATGGAGGATGGGACTCTTGTTCTTGGGATCATGAGTTAGAGCCCAATGTTGGGTACAGAATTTACTTTAAATATATATATATGTGTGTGTGTGTGTGTGTGTGTGTGTGTGTATAGTAAAATGGAGTCAGGAGCCAGACGTGGGAGCTCTTATACGCTACCACTCTTCCTTCATTGCATACCCCAACAGGAAGAGACTTACCTTGCATTCCCCATAGGAAAAAGACTATTTTACTATCATAGCAGGAGGAAAGAATTTCTTTGTCCAGCAGCAGCCCAGCCAATGAGAGACTGTCACAACTCAGCCAGTGAAAAGCCACTACACTTAGAACTCCCAGTTTATTCCAATGGGCGTTTTGTTTATAACAAAGGCCTCTCAACTTAGCTGTTCCTCTATAAAGAGTGGTCCTCACCTTTGTTCTCTAGACTTGCAGAGCCCTAGCTTGTGTGTCTGGAAATGCAATTCTCTGCTATTTCAGAATAGACTTCTTTTTTTTGTAGTAAGATAACGGACAGTTTTATTTTGAAGGTTAACAGGTTTAAAAAATATATATATATATATATATATTTTTTTTTTTAGTTGTAGAGAGAAAAAGGGAGCATGCAAGCGGGGAGGGGCAAAGGGGGAAGGAGAAGGAGAATTCCAAGCAGGCTCCACGCTCGAGTGCACAGCCCAACACGGGGCTTGATCCCATGACCCTGAAATCAAGAGTCTGATGCTCAACCCACTGAACCACCTAGGCACCCCTGAGGTTAACAGGTTTAACCATCGCTTTTAAGTAGTCAAAGGACTACTTCACTGGACTCCTCAAAATTATAGCTCTTATCCTGGATAGCCTTTTCTTCCCTGATATTGCTGGCATTTTAGTCAGCCTTAAAAAATCTAAACTCCTGGCTTCAGCAAGAAGTTGTAAAATGGCTAGGAATGGAGGGTTGTGACAATAAGCAAGACATAGCGTCTTTATTCAAGGACCTTTCAGTTTGGCAGGGAAATGTGTTAAGTCACACCTAACTCTCAAAGAAGGTAGGGGGAGAGAGGATAATAATGTACAAAATGGTGGTGGTGGTGGTGAGGGAGTGAAGAGGCCGGTGATGCCAGTGTTTGAGGAGAGTCTTAAAGGCTACATAGCATATTTCCCCCCATTCTTTTTGGTGATTGTTGTTATAAAAGTAATACATATTAATTGTAAAAAGTTTGGGAAATCCAGAAAAATACCTCATGCAAACAAAAATCACCCCCAGTCTCACCTTACAGATAAAACCACTTTTCTTAGATTATAATCATTCTATACATGGTTTTATAAAACATTTAAAATTCAAAACATTTGTCATAGATGCTTTACCATGTAATTAAGTATTCTAAATTCTGAATTTTAATGGGTGCATTTTTACTAAAATATAATAGATAAGAGCACAACCTCCAGCCAGACTATACTTCTTTTTTTTTTTTAAGATTTATTTATTTATTTATTTGACAGAGAGAGACACAGCGAGAGAGAGAACACAAGCAGGGGGAGTGGGAGAGGGAGAAGCAGGCTTCCCGCGGAGCAGGGAGCCCGATGCGGGGCTCGATCCCAGGACCCTGGGATCATGACCTGAGCCGAAGGCAGACGCCTAACAACTGAGCCACCCAGGCGCCCCCACAGACTATGCTTCTAATATCACTAGCCACTTAGAGTTCCTGTGTAGGTAAAATGGGGATTAATATCCAGTAGGGATGGTATAAGAGAGAATAATACACACAAAGGGAGAGAGATGGGAAAAGCACCATGCAAGTATTATTTGACTGGGTAGATTTGGGCTGGACTGCTGGGGACCTTGGCTCCTAAACTATAGAGCCTCTTGAGGGTTTCAAGTAGAGCCAGAACATGTTCAGTGTAGTTTTTGAAAGTTTGCTCTGGCCACACTGTGAGGGTTGTATTGGAACAGCTTGACTGAAAATCAAGATCAGGAATGAAGCTGCTCCAATCATGCAGGTGAGTGGTAACATAGGCCTGGGTTGGGTCAGTTGGAACAGGGAAATAGGGAGTTGTGTGTGAGAAACTATAAACATTGGAACCTATAAGATGTCATGATTGATGGTATGTTAGTAGCAAAAATAAAGGAGATATCAAAGTTCAGAATTTTAACTTGGATTACTTTTATTTCCACTATAACAACCTCACTGCAGATTACTGGCATTGCTGGCCTGGTTTACTGCAACAACTCCATTCTTCTCCCTGCAATCAATTATCATCACAGCTGTTGGATTATTATTATTTTTTTTTAAGTAAGCTTTAGGCCCAACGTGGGGCTCAAAGTCACCACCCCAAGATCAAGAGTTGCATGCTCCACCCACTGAGCCAGCCAGGCACCCCAGATTTTTTTAATTTTCTTTAAAGATTTTATTTATTTATGTGTGAGATAGAGAGAGAGAGCAAGAGCACACACAAGCTAGGGAAGAGGCAGAGGGAGGGAGAAGCAGACTCCCCACTGAGCAGGGAGCTCCTGG